AAAAAAAAAAAAAAAAAAAAAAAAAAAAAAAAAAAAAAAAAAAAAAAAGATTAATGCTATCACAGTAACGGGTTACCTGATGGTAAGCATGCGCGCCGCCCATGAACACCCTAAACACCAGGCAAGTTACAAGGGATTTTTAGGAGTTGTTAGTAATATGAAGATTGAGAATTTGGAAATTGGGGACATGTCAAAACTCGACCTTTATCCAGAGATTTTGGATTAGTGCCGGTTATTATATTTCGGCCGTTAATAGATATTCCTAACCTAACATCATTATCATTGGCATTATGTTAACGTTTAATTATGGGTTTTTATAGCCGTTTTACAAAAATAAATCATAATTTTCATTTCAGCGACAGTGCATTAGGCAGCAAGGAGTCTCGCCAGTCGAACGTGAAGATGGGCTGGTGCATGGACTGTCGCCTGGCTGTGTCTAAGCTGGAGGATACAATGCCTGGTATCACTGGGATGGTTCCTGGATACAATGTCTCATTGGTGAGTAGAACGTTAAAAAATGTGTACTTTCTAGATTCAAAATAAGGTTGAAATTTGCACTTTATGGGTTCAAAATAAGTTCGAATTTGTATTATCTGGATCTATTTTAATTACTGTGGTTTTCTTTAAAAAGAACATTGCCTAGTTCCTTTAGTAGAATGTTTTTTTTTTTAATAGATATAACAACAACAAGCATTTATGAGTAAATCTTCCTGTCAAAGTAAAAAAGTTCTTATATTGCATAGTTTAGTTTACAGTTTAGTTTGGAATAATTATTGATAAAAATGTAAGAATTATAATATTTCCCTCAACCTATAATCCGCATCCTTCTTTACTCATCCTTATTCCTTTCCCAATCCAGAATCGACAGGACCACCTTACTTATCATACCATAGACGAATACAGAGAACACCAGAGACAACAAGTTGACGAGCAATCCAAGAAGGTATTGTTTATTGATTCTTAATGAAAATGGTTACTAGGAATATGTAGAACTTACTTCTTTTCCTTTAGGTCATTTCAAAGCAGACATGTCAAAAAGTACTACTTCTAAAGATGTTTTCTATATTTAAATATTTCTTTATTTTCCAGGACTCTGACGCCTCGTCATCGCCTGCGCCCAAGGAAGAGAATCTACACTTTTGCACCAATTGCTTCAAGAGATACGTAATTACAGATTCCAATGAAGAAATTGTGAGTATTTTTCTACTTATGCGAAAACCTTATGAAAGTCTCTTAAACTTATGGTGATAAGTACCATATCCAGATGAATGATGTATCAACTTCAGATAAATCATAATCGTATCAGCCATTCATTTTCATATTACCCAATTAAAAGCGAACAGCATCTAGTGGCGCCCGAAATCTTTGTCTTTTCTTTTGTTATGTTTTTTTTTATAAGCTAGCAAACGTTTCGACGAATCAAGTGCGTTGCCAATGTTTTTTTGGAATTTGGGTATGGGTGACCTCCGGTTACCTCACACGACGAAATGTAACGTAATCATTTGTTTTACGACGGTTGCTCTTATTGCTATTATGCTGCTATTATACTCGGTGACTCGTAAAACTAGATTTCATGTTTGTGTGTTAGATGAGGTTTTTTTAATGGAATTAGCCCGCCACAACCTCCCAAAACTGACTTTCAGATCCTAGCTTACAGGACAACTGTTGGGATAAGTAGATACAAGCATGAAAACACTGGAACACTCAAGTCCAGCGCGTCCCAGGGACATGAATAACTGTCTTGGATTCCACAACGAAATAAATTAGAAGATATTAATAGGGGAGGAGAAAAAAAAAACAATAGTATTAGATGAGTCGTGTGTATTGTTCCAGAAGGTATGTAGCGTGGTGTCGACGACGAGCGTGGCAGTGTCGGCCGCGGACAGCGCCGACCCGCGCACTGACTCCCACTCCAGCGACAAACTCACGGGCACCGGGGACGTACTACTCGTGCCCGTCAATGTAAGCTACAAACAAAGAATACAATTTAATCAAAGGCTGGTATAATGCAAAAAAAAAACTAGATACTTAGATATACCTAATCTCATCACAAGCTATTACATATTTTGAATTTAATTTAAGCATTTATGGTCATGCAAACTAAACAATAAACATGTATACAAAATTTCACCTCAATCGATTGTTGAATTCTTCTTCAAAATTCCACTTCGCAAACATTTTGTTGCAAGATTCCACTTGACAAACATTGTAAGCTAAATCAAATAATAATGTTATATTTTTGCAGCCTTCACCAAAAGAAGAAAAACCGAAGTCCCCGACAACAAAGGCTGGAAAGAAGAAAGGTGCTCCCGTACCTACCAACACCACGACCAGTAGCAATAGCAACCCTGTGCCTAAGGCCGGGCCCAAGGAGGCCGACTCTGGCCTCTACTTGTACATAGACTTACATGGACATGCTTCTAAAAAAGGTTGGTGCTATAAAGTTAGACAACTTTCACCTAATATATGCGATAGCAACACCAACAAAAGAATACTGAAGTGAGTAGTTATTTTTATATTGTAACATTTAAGTTTCTATACTAACCATTTTAGTTACCTGTTACTAAACTAAAAGTACTCTTAAAATCTAAACGCGTACTAAAACATTACATAATATCACGCCTTTTATTCCCGAAGGGGTAGGCAGAGGTGCACATAACGGCACTTAATGCCACTGTATGTACAATGTAACACTCACTTTTCACTATTTTATGTTATAAGTTCCATGTAATAGGGGGGTAAGCATATTGCCATATACTGGGAACAATTCCAAACTTCGTGCTAGAACTGGGAATTTTTAATTTGAACCTGAAGCCCCTTGGCCGACAGTCGCACTTGCGATTGGAACTTGGAATTGATTAACTTTTTATTAATGTTAAAACATTGCGTCTAGGTATATTCATGTACGGCAACCACTTCGACGACCTGGAGAGCTGTGTGGAGTGCATGCTACTGCCTCGCATCATGTCCATGAACAACCTGCACTTCCACTTCTCTTCATGTAACTTTACTGAGCGGAATATGTACCTCAAGTAAGTAAGAACCGATATAAAAAAAAATATTTTAGTTTGACCTGTATTTATTTATGTTTGTCCGCGATTATTCCATTATTTACTGAATAAATTTTGATGAGGATTATCAGAAAAGTATTTGCTGTTATTTATTAAAAAAGATTGGTAAATGTTTGGGAAATGATAATTCCGGTAATCGTGCGGCAGGGACCGCCGCGACGGCATGTCCCGCGAGGGCTCGGGGCGCGTGGCGGTGTTCAAGGCGACGGGGCTGGTGCGGTCGTACACGCTGGAGTGCAACTACAACACGGGCCGCCTCGTCAACGTGCTGCCGCCCGCCGTGCGCGACGCCGCGCCCGCGCCCGCGCCCGCCGCCGCCCCGCCCAAGTACACGCCGCACATCTTCGAAGAGGTAAACCCCTTCCAGGTTTGTGCGCCGCCCAGCACTCACCATACAGCCCACGTCACCCCCTCGACACTGCGCGTGATCTCGTACCGACCATATTCTAGAACTAATGCTCTTTCGAAACTTTTATATTCGTTATACTGTATCGTGTCAGGTCATGTGTATGCTCATAATTCTAAACTATAATTGGCTCACCGATACTTGTGCTTATTTAACAATAAGTTTTTAATTGTTTTTACTAGCTGTATAATAATATTTGAACCTTTGTTAAAACTTGTGTATTTAAAAATGTTTTTTCTAGAATATGGGGTGTTAAGGTAAAGGCTTTGTGTGCACAAATCAAAATTAATAAACAATGTGTGTTATATATAAGATTGTGACTAACAATGTGTACAGTTCCGGCTGATCGCTCACAGTGTCGATTTATTGTATTTTTTTAGTGTCATCGTATATTGAACCTTAGATTAGACATTGAACGAACAAACTTAAATTCGTGTTAATAGACTTATTTTAGAGCATCATAATACAAATTTTATTCGTCTTACTTTCATAATTTTCTATACTTGATTATGTTATTATTTACTCCGTCCTTTTCTGACTATTCTCAATTACATGTTAAAGAAGGTAAAAAGTTATTAATACAGTCCTCAGAAAATGAACACGTTTCAGGTAAAACACTATCGCCCAAAGAATCTGGAGGTTTTCGAAGAGATAGCTCCCAGCGAGGTTTGTTTGGAACCTTGTATAATGCTAGTACACATTATATTTAAACTATACGTACCTTATATCAATATAGTCATTATTCAGTACTGCTTGGTGTAGTTTAGTCCCGCTTCCTAGAATATCATGCTTTGTAAGATACCTCTTCAAAAATCTCCAGATATTTTACACTTGCAGTTGCTTATAAAGCACTTATTTTTGTAATGGAACAAACTAATTCAAAGGATTCAATGAATACAACAAAATACGTTATGTATAATGTAAGTTAATAGTGTTAATACTTGAAGTTACGATTCCCATACTGAAGTAACTTATAAATGTTGAATAGACGAGGTCTGCACTTCTCACTACTGCAGATCATTACACGTCGGCACCAGCCTACTGACTACTGCCATCACTAATTACAGGTTGCTATGACATCCTATGCATTCATTCGGAACTTTCGCGCTGTCCAGATCTCAGGTTGATGTTGCTACAAAGAAACTGCTTAGTGGCAGTAAACGAATAAACAAATATATACAAACCGTTATGCAGTGTCTCATACAGAATGATTGTGTGTAGGTGGGTCGTTCCCTGGGCGCGTCGATCCTGGACCTGACGGGGCAGCACCCCAACTCCCGCATCCCCTGCTCCGAGCACCGGAACCTGTCCGCCGTCAGGGAGTGGCTGCGGGCTCATACCAGGACCATGCGGCCACAGGTACTATACTCTATAATCACGTTTCAATACTCAGTTTATTGCGGGTTTTGTAACCATGTTGGTCAATCTCTATCAGCCACCAGACTAACATAATCATCATTTTCTTCGCATTCTTTCCTGTACAAGTTAAACTGTGCACGCTTCGATACTTGTCTCTATTGGTAACACGACGTCTTTAATTTTCAGTGTTAACTACTAAACACGACAAGCGTTATATAATCGCGGTAAGAATATTAATTGTGGGAGTGGAAGTGTGCTGTCAATACGATCATTTAACATAACACTAGATTGTACATAATCGAATCACGGAGTGGGGCTTTACATAGATGAATGTTATTATTTAATCTTGTAAGGGGTCAGCTAGCATGTCATGTGTGTGTTGTGTCTGTTCTAGCTCACGATGTCACGACTCCGGCCTAAGACCACGTCCCCGCCTCGCGTGCCGCTGTACGCGCGCTCCAAGGGCAAGGTGACCGAGGAACGCAAGGAGAACACCTACGTCGGCGCCAAGACCGACTCTGAGCGCAAGCGGAGCCCACCAGTACTGGCGCCGCGGTCTGGCCACGACATCATGAACCTCGGCATGAAGTTCAGCAAGAAGAACGAGCCCGTCAAGACTGCCTCCCGGACTAGATACTTGAGCGAAAACGAACCCAAACCCAAAACGTTATCCACTAAACGAAGAAATATTCTAGCCATCAGGAAACCGAACTCGAGTAAGACCGCGGTGGGCGGCGTCGTGAAGACGAAGGCGAGCCGGCGGTCGGCGGACGACGCGGAGAGCCCGCGCACGTCCATCGTGTCCGGCAAGCTCAGCAAGCGCAGCTACTCGCGCTCCGTGCGCGGCTCGTCCACGCGCAGTCGCGCGCTGGCCTCGTCCTCGTCCGACGAGCTGCTGGCCGGCGCCTGGGAGGACGTGGCGGGCGGCACGGCGCTGGGCGCGGCCGACGGCCTGGCGCTGCCCGCCAAGCGCCGCCCCTTCCCCGCGCCGGCGCCGCCGCCGCACCTCAAGAAGATCCGCCTCAAGCAGGCCATGTAGCGCCCGCCCCGCCACCACTGCCGACGGCTAAATGTCACTCAGTAACTGACCGTTTCTTACGTTGGCAATAACTTTGTGTGGGGCGCCATCGCGGTAACTTATGCCATTAAAAATCTTATGTGATCTTATCTCTTACTTTGGGTCTAGTTAAGGTGTCGTCTAATATTATTTAGAATTATTATCGTTGCCCATTACGACTTACCGCTCGTACACTTCTACGAGTTTCGACAATTATTGTTATACTACTTATAACTCCTCTATATTTTATTTTACTGTTATTATTTATAGGAATATTTTTAATGGCATGAGAGAACTAACTGGGCTAGTGTTGTATTGTAACTTAAATTTTCGTTGCTATTATAACTATCCGTATCTTGTGATTATGTTGACTGAATGAACTAAATTTTTGTGTTCCCTAGCATAATGTTTTATGTCAATTTTCTTGTTTAAAATTCAAAGTCTGTATGTTTTACAGTCCTTATTGATATAGATTGAAATATTTATTTATCAGAAATGTAAATTTATACTGTAAGATTATATGAAGACAAAATATCTTGTATGCGGCGAATTGTAAAGATTATACCAACCGTAGTGAGTTAAATGCTCATGGAGCAATGTTTTCAAGATGTGCTAATATTGTATAATGTACTATTGATCTCATTTATGAAATTTAGCAAGAAGCTGGTTTTGAACAGTGCTCATATCTATTCGATCAGAAATATTTGTGTACCCACAGCTTGTAAAATGATTGTGTTAAGCTTTAAAAAAATTGGAAATTGGAATTAGGAACAGAAACAAAGTGTTTGTGTGATATAAAACAGCTACTTGGTTTATATAAAGGGTTTTTTTAGAAAATAATGTATGTATTACTAACATGATAACTTGTGTACACACATGGTGTAAGGTGATGCGGCCGCCTCCATGGGGCGGCTCATCACGTCTACTAGTGCAATAATTTTATATAAAATACAATGTACCACGAGTTTTATATAAATACATGACCTACATGAAATTCTAAGTTCTTATTAAAATAAAGTGTTTACGGTAGAAATGCGTAGTGTGTATATTTTAAAACGGTAACTATTTATTTATCTGAAATATTAATATATGGTTAAATAACATACAATGTTCTCACAAGCTATTGTTTTCGTTTTATACACCCAATCCTGACATCCTGTGGACGAGTATTTACATCCACTACTCTTACTTATAATAATACTTTAATAAAGCCAACAAAGATATAATGGCATGCACTTACATCTTCCCAACCTGCCAGTATCTCAATACATTTAGTGCATTTTTCGTATTTTTTCTGTACACAATGAAAAAATCAAACATCCTAAATTTTAGGCTTCATAGTAGCTTATTTTTGAGCCTCCCATCTTTAATACTCGTAAAGATAATATTGAAGATTCATGAACAAGGTGAATTTGACCTTTGGTTAAGTGAAACACTTATAATATCCGTCAAACATAGAGTAACATACAGATAACCAACTAGCTAGACTGCTAGAATATAACATGTCTTATGCATGCTACTAGACGGCTGGACTAGCACCCCAAATTACCTATAAAAATGTAAGCTTTTTTAACCTTTTGGTATGACCACAGCCATAGCCAATCCACCTCGAGCAAAATGAATTCCTCCTTCTCCATATGAGAAGAGGCTTTTGCTCAGCAGTGAACTAATAAATCATTAATCTAATGACATCAATGGTATTTGAGTAATTATCAAATTACTGCCATTGGTTCTATTATAAGTGCTTGTTAGTTTGAGAAAACACAAAAAATATATTTTAAAATAATTTGTTGCCCACATAGAGAATATGAAGTTTCGAATTTCCAATACAAAAGTAGCCTATGTTACTTCTTAGTACTTCAGCTAACTGCCAATTAAAATCGGTCCAGCCATTCCAGAGCCAGTACAAACAAACAGACAAAATTTGTAAAATATATTATTTTAGTAGGTGTATTGTATGTATATTCATATCTTATCTATCTATATTATTTGTAGATAATATATCTGTTTTAGGAAGCATGTAAACAGAAGTGAAAAAAAGATTTTTGTGGATTTATTAGCAGGGATTGTGCAAAAATTGTAAATTAAAACACAGAAATACCGTAAACTCCTTTATTCAAAGTCCACAGTACGCTTAAACTAACAGATTACAGCCTGCGTCCTCGTCGTCCACCCTTCCTGCGGGTAGAGTCTGAAGGCACGGGGGTAACATCTTCAATGCGGCCAATCTTCATGCTGGAACGAGCCAGGGCACGGAGAGCAGACTGAGCACCAGGTCCAGGTGTCTTGGTCTTGTTGCCTCCTGTGGCACGCAGTTTGATGTGTAAGGCGGTAATGCCTAGGGTCTTGCACTTCTCAGCAACATCCTGGAAATGTACAGAAAATAAGTTAGTAGACATCTTGCATAAATTTATTGGTGTCAATACGTTATTTTGTATTTTATATAGACTTCTCAACTTCATTGAGAAGTAGTTTCATGTGGACCACTGGTAAAATAAGTACCTAATGCCGGAATACTGAAACGTTACTCAATTTTAAGTCGTGCTTAAATATCGTGCCATCTCTGTCATTTCACAAAGAAGTAGTAGAGACAGGACTATACTTAAGTGTGACTTAAAATTGAGTAATGTTTCAGTATTCGGGCATAAGTCAGATATAAATTCATTATGATTTTGAGACAGTGAAGTTCCCTGAATTGACTAAACATTTCTGTTATAATAGACATTGAGGAGTAAACAATACAATTTTTAGTTGTGCATGGTGTTCTTTACAAAGGGCACTAAGCTTTTTGTCTTATCAATTCAAAATACCACTCTAACCTCAAAATGTAAAGATATCACATACAAAGCATACTAAAAGTATTGTAAACAAACCTGAGCGGCCAACATAGCGGCGTAGGGTGAAGCTTCGTCACGGTCAGCCTTCACTTTCATGCCACCGGTGACACGGGCAATGGTTTCCCGGCCAGACAGGTCGGTAACGTGCACGAATGTGTCATTGAAGGAGGCGAAAATGTGAGCTACTCCGAACACTGTCTCACCCACCAAGTGCTGAGGACCCAGGGTTACCTGGACCTCCTCTTTCTGAACTTTGTTTTTCCTTGGTGCCATGGCTCACCCTGAAAAATAGCAACACTTCAGTTCAGCACCACTTTTGTAACCTTAAATATCTGAGTAATCCACACACTGATTCACGCGTATAGAGAACTAGATAACAAATTAGGATATTAACTAGCAATATGAGAGCTTATTTCACGTTAAACTATTAATTTTAAAACATTTTTACGTAAAACTTGAAAATACCTTTAGCTTTGAAAGCTGTCAAAAACTAGAAAGAAATTGTATGTGAGTGTTGCCAGTATTGTGGTATAAATAAAACACAAAAATAAATCAAAATGTCCCATTCCTACTAAGACAACAAAAAAATCTCTATGGTTTATTTTCACGTGAAAATTAATAATTCAACTATTGTTCCTAAAATAATTTTGTGTACCTAAATGACCAATAAATCAATTTTATGAGTAAAAAAAAGACATGCAATATTGTAACATAATACAACTTTTAACTTGATGCAAACCATATCAGTGATGCAAACCTAGCAACAATCTAACCATAAAACAGAAAAACTTCTACCAAAAGATACAGAAACAATAATATAAAGTAATAATAAAAAAAATCGTCCTTTTTATTTAAATAACAATTTACGCATAATATTCCACAATATTTCACGCATTTTTCATGCTTTAAAAACAATAAATGAAGTACGTATGTTGCCACTTAAATGCTCAATGAAATAATATTTGATTTTTATTTGTAATTTTTAAGTATTCAAATTAAAAAATACGGGTTTACGTTTATTCTAAATTATTTTATGAATTTTATGATCCATCCCCCATCCCTAAAGCAATGTGACAACATCCGGAAATAGCGTACGTCATTGCCAACAGATTCATATTTCCATCGCTTGTTCGTTGCTGAGAAAAATCGTCGGTTTTAGCGACGTAACATATTGCTAATAAGTGTGAAATATTGTGATAAACTTCCTTTTAGCATTAGTTAATCTAGTTCAATTTTAAATAGTGAGTATTTCATTTTCGTTTTGGTGTAATTAAAGTTCGAAGTTTCAAGTACGAAGTGACGTTCTGTCATTCTTGTTACTCAATTCAATATTGTATTCCTATTACGTTTTCGATGTCTCGACAAGTTTGACGGCATGTGTGATGTGTGGTGGCGTCGCTCAGTGAAATTCCACTGGTAGCTACTACGACGTAATTGATAACAAAAAGATTTGCAAGTCATTACTCATCCCATACGTTCTTTGTGATGAAGGTGGATGTTCTGAATTAATATTGTTTCCTACGTTCCAGATTCAAAATGTTTATCTTGGATTGGTTCACTGGTGTTCTCGGATTCCTTGGTAAGTGAAGTTCCTATTGAGATCTTGCATGATCTTCTTACCTGTGACCAGAATCTAGTCATAATTCCAGTCAAAGTTCAGCTTTCTGAAGTACCTAGCTGATTATCGATCATAAGTTGAACTAAACATCTAAAAAGGAACATATACATCCATTAATATATTTAAAGCAAACACAAGTGCTTTAATTATTGCAAAACCTACACCAACTCCACTAACACAAGCATTTGATTACTGACTCAAAAGGTACAAATTATGTATAATAATTGTTTGTGGCTAAACCATAAACAGTCACTGCTAGAAAGTTGAACTTACAACAAAATAGGAAGGTTGTGTTAGTTTCTTGAAAGACTTTCTTCAAAAGCTTGCTTATTGTGTTTGATTACATACATAAATCTCACATAAAAGCCACATTTGTGGTGACATTTAGGTATTAATGCAATAAATCAATTGAATTATTTGTGGATTAAGTTTAAAACACAATCAATAGAATACCTAATACTTATTTTGGTTGTAATTTATGTAATGGTCTTTGATTATAAAAATTAATTTGACTAAATATCAAATTACTTATAACTGCAATTTCACCATTCAGTTACAAAACATTGTCCAAACTCAGTAGTAAATATTTCATAGTTTGTGTGTAACTGTTTCAACTGAAGGTCAACTTTGTTACCCAGTGAAGTGACACAGTGACCTACTAAACATCCTTAGCATATGAAACAACTTACTATTTCCTTAATCTTATATTAAGACATCTTTTATTCAAGATTATAGCAATTCAAATTAACATTTTTAACAAAATAATAATAAATAAGCATGAAATGATTACAACATCACTATAATTTTTTTTGTACACATTCCTAATTCAAATTGCAATAAATTATGTACCTAATTTATAAATAAAACATTCAATTTTGGCAATAAAAAAGAAATAGTACTATCTATGAAGTTTAGTTGTTGTTTTTAATGAGGTTTTTGTTTATCAGGTCTGTGGAAGAAGTCAGGCAAGCTACTGTTCTTGGGGCTGGACAATGCTGGCAAGACCACACTCCTGCACATGCTGAAGGATGACAGATTGGCGCAGCATGTACCCACATTGCATCCCAGTAAGTATTCATTATAAAAAATATTTTTGTTTTCATTTAACTAAAGTCTTAGGACTAAACAAATGGGACACAGGAATTTATTTGAGATTTTTCTCTTATCATATTTCTCAGTAAATGCATGAGCCTAATGCCCGAATACTGAAAGGCTATTTTTTTTAAGTCATGCTTAAGTATAGTTCTGTCACTACAAATTCTTTATAAAATGACAGAGATGGCACAATATTTATGTAAATCTTAAAATTGAGTAACTACCTAGCATTTCAGTATTCAGACGTTATTTAGTGTTAATTTACAAAAACTAATCATTTTCTGAAGGTGATGATGTAACATCATGCCTTTGTTACTTAATCAATATTATATTTAGATCATATAAGTTTTTAAGTCATCTAGATTAGACTAGGATAATAAATAAGTTAATAATATAATAAAGTCTGTTGAAGGATATGGTCCATAGTCTATTCTAAACTATCCAGTTAGATTAAATCTCCAAAGAGAGCAAAGTTCAATTGACACTTCCTACGGCTAAATCCTCAGAAACTTCTCAAGGCTTATAATTGAATTGAATGAGTAAATAAAACAACTGATGAAATAAGTGCTGTTTATTTCAGTAAATAGACTACAAAATAGGACCTATATACAACAATATTTTATAAGTAGATAATGCAGGTTGTGTACAGTGAATGTACATAAATTAGTCTTTTTTTATTGTTATCCCACACTAGGACTTTCTCCTGTGTCCTGGGTATGTTTAAAAACATACAAGTTCACATACACATGACACCCAGACCCTGAACCACAATCTGTGGATCACACAAAGAGTTTTCCGCGCGGGAATCGAACCCGCGACATGTTGCGCGGCAGACAATTGCCCAACCACCGCGCCATCCGTGCAGACGAGTTGTAAGACCTACTTACCCTCTAAAAAAAAATTGGTGATGTGTTGGTGACTATCTTGAAAATTTTAATAAACATAGCAGCTTCAATATAATTAATTATATATTATGAATGTCATGCTGATGTTGTTTATAAATAGATAAGAGCTAAATCACTACTCCAACAAGATATGCATCTAGTGCTACTCATGAGGATTTACCCTCCAATCCCCAACGTTGACTGCTTTCCACTAACTCCATTATAGGCCTTATTTCCGAAGTTTAGAGACTACTTTTGTATGAAAAAATTTAGGGTATGATATTTCAACAGGTTAAACAACAAATGTCTATTTTAAAATTTTAATAACATTTGGTGCACAAGGCTTTTGTAAATTACTGATCAATACTCATTAAAATTTCAATCAACCTTTCTGTGCACTGTTTTTTATTTGCTCAAATGTACATTGCCTGAATGTGAATAGCTTCACTAGAGGACTGAACGACAGACTGACATTATTAAATTTGTTTGTTGACGTTCAAAAGTGCCTTCCTTGTTTAGTTGAAGTAAATGATTTTGACTTTGATATAATGTTAAATATCTATATGTTCACGGCATCACGCGTGAACCGATTTAATAAATTATTTTTTGTTGTATTTGTTATTATTAGGAGAAGGTTCTTAAAACAGAAAAAATCCTGAAAATCCTACGGGTACAGGAGGAATCGGGATTGCGCGTACGAAGTCGCGGACGGAAGCTAGTTTTATAATAAATGTAACACTTTGTAACGACAGTAACGTATGTGCATTATCAGAATGAAACAACAATTTATGCAAAGAGATAGCTAGAATTTCGTTCTTGTGTTTAATGCTTTAGAATTCAATTTTTATACAATTTCTACATTTGCGAAACTGATAGTCGAAAATAGGTGTCTTATATCTGCTTACTCTTCTATAGAATATTAGCCTTAATGTTATGTTAAATATTGTCCAAACTTGTTTTTTATTCTGCCAGAAAATGATGGTCAATTATAATGAGCCGCTCAAGGTTGTGTACAAGTCTAATTTCCTGCTTGGAATTAATTATCTCAACTTATATTATTATATGTTTTAAGTTATATCATGCTGACTTAGCATTTTATGCCTTTTTATAGATATACTAGAATATCACTATCACTACCGTTACATAGTATAAAACAAAGTCGCTATCCGCCGTCTGTCTGTCCCTATGTATGCTTAGATCTTTAAAACTACGCAACGGATTTTGATGCGGTTTCTTTTTATAGATAGAGTGATTCTTAAGGAAGGTTTATATGTATAAAACATGCATATTGCACCTGTGCGACGCCGGGGCGGGTCGGTCGCTAGTTAGATAATAATGCGAACTCCGAACGTAACGTGTGCGAAGCCGCGGGTAAAAGCTACTTAAATAGTAATTCAAGTCATTGTGACTTTCGCAAGTCCAGTGACCTTATTAGCAAATAGTCTATTGGTCAAGATATCATGATGCCAGCCAATCAAATGCCAGTTTTTTATACAGAGATTGCAGTGACAGTATCTTCCTACTTTGGTTTCATGTCTATATTTCAATCAACCTTTTTATCTCACTTCCCTGCTGATAAATAAATGTCTCATTTATAACTGAGTGACCGATATCATTGAATATTCTTGGTACATAAAATACTTGTAATTAATTAATTTTATTTGTGACTAGCTCCCGTGCGGTTTCATCCGCTGCTTCGTCTTTTGATCATAGCGTAATGGTTTATACTCTATAGCCATCCTCGATAAATAAAGTATCCAACACAAAAGGAATTACTCTATTCGAACCAGTAGTTCTGGAGATTAGTGTGTACACAAACAAACTCTTCAGCTGTAGGTAGTACAGTGTAGGTTCATAAAAACATGTTTATTTAAAAATTGTCGTATGCGTAGCTGATTGTTGTCACAAATAAATTATTACTATTGTAGCATGCCAAAAGCTACATAAATATAATTTGCACTAGTACTACTCTGACATTGTGTGTGACATTATTTATTAAAACAGTACAGTAAAATAAATGTGTAACCATTTTTTTTTCTAATATTATTTTATTACTCTTTATGTCATATAATATATACAATACTAGCTTTTACCTGCGGCTTCGCTCGCGTCACAAAAAGATAAAAAGTAGCCTATGTTACATATACCAATACACACAGCGCCATCTTTACCAATACTTTTGTTTTTCTTCGGGAATGTCAATTTTCCGGGATAAAAAGTACCCTATTATTTAATCCGGACTTCTAACTTTACGTCTGCAAAAATTCAAAGCAATCGGTTAAGTAGTTACGGCGTGAAAGCGGAACAAACAAACAAACAAACTCACTTTCCGATTTATAATATTAGTAAAGATTGTAGGAAAAACTGAACTTAACGCGTAATGTTATAATAATTTCTTTATAAAAGTGATATTTTGGACGAAGTTATTTATTGAGTGTAAACGTTTCTAACGTCACATAATTTCCACAGCGTCGGAGGAGCTGTCAATAGGCAGTATGCGTTTCACGACGTTCGACTTGGGCGGGCATCAGCAGGCGAGGCGCGTGTGGCGCGACTACTTCCCGGCGGTAGACGCCATCGTGTTCCTAGTGGACGCCTGCGACCGCCCGCGCCTGCCCGAGTCCAAGGCCGAGTTGGACTCACTGCTCACTGACGAGACACTCAGCAACTGCCCCGTCCTCATCCTCGGCAACAAGATCGACAAGCCCGGCGCAGCCAGCGAGGACGAGCTCCGTCAGTTCTTCAACCTGTACCAACAGACCACTGGAAAGGTAAGCTTTATCATCAGAGCCTCATTTCCATTCTCTACTAGCTTTATCAATGTATTTAATTCAACACGTCGTGTAATGTGACATTGGGTTGAATGAACCTTATTTACATGTAGAAAATTGTTCGTTTATATCGTCTAAGTCTTCGAATTATAGCTAATTCTCGTCAACCATAAATAATTGAAAGATACATTTTCAATTACACACTATCATCCTGGTACTAATATTAACGTCACGACCGACTGACCCAATTTACAAATATTCTTATCTTTAACGTTTTTATGCAGTACGCGCCAAATTTTACGATTGTTTTATGAACCGTAAAACTTGTCGATTCCACTTTAAAGCCTTAGATTTCATTATAAAACGAACAAAGAATAATAATAATGTTCCTATTATAATAAAGTTTAGATGTACGGAAATGGATTTTGTACCGTAGTATGAATAGCGTACTAATTTTAGCATTACCGTACGTATAAAGATAACAAGGTCCGTATAATCGACGCCTTGTCCCCGACACTATCTACCAGTATATTTATTACTTACTTTATCTCACCTCCAGTAAATGACAAAGTGCACGATAGAACTCGTAATTTATTTATTTATCAGAAAATATATTATGCACATATATACCTTTCCTATTACGAGCCAATTACAAAAAATAATGGTGAATCGCTTGAATAAATTAACATAGGCGTAACGAATAGGAATAATAATATCGCTGTTTTCCAACATTACGTACAAAATAAAACGTAGATATATATTTATATTGTCTTATTTCTTGCCAAAGTGACACGAGTAATCTAAAATTGTAATTTAACAAACTAGTTTACGTATAAGGTACCACATTCACTGTATTATATAAATTGCTTAGGTAGGTCTCTTGGCCATTTATATTATTTCCTAGATACAGTCTGTCTGTATGCAGACTCCCAAGGTTTATTTATTTATGCTAATCTACTCGACGTGACTTATTGACGGACATGTACTCAGCGATACCGAATGCGACATAATCAATCTTATCTTATGCAGTAATAAAATACAAATATAGAAATTGTATTAAACTTTTGTCTGTCATTTTTCAAGTCGTATATTTGACTAATACGCTATGTCTGTTCCAGGGCAAAGTATCCAGATCAGAGTTGCCCGGCCGACCCCTGGAGCTGTTCATGTGCTCGGTGCTGAAGCGCCAAGGCTACGGCGAGGGCTTCCGTTGGCTCGCCCAGTACATCGACTGAGCTGCGCGGGCGCACGCACGCCGCCACTCGGCTCGCTTATACTCGCGTATGCTTCTCATATAAATGTCAAACTAAACGTAGCCGCCCAAATGCAATAATCTACTTTGTGCCTGTGTATCATTTAATTACTTTATATACTTTATGATAATTATCAAATACTTCAAACTGTTGCTTCGAAGATGACGGACATACACTTCGTGACTGATGCTTCTCTTAACTAGTAGTGTGGACCGGCCTCGGTTTCTGAACCGCCCCAGCTACAAGCAGTAAGCGGCTACGTTCTCACGATGTATATATGCTCGAAACGCGCCCGTTTGTAAGCAGCCAACAATCGCTCACTAGTAATGCTTCATTGTAATGGTTGGAACATCTCAACAGAGAGTAAACTATTATTCTAAACGAATCCTTTATTAATGTAAGGATCAACTTATCAATTAAATAATAAATAATTTATTATACTGCCCCTTTTTCCTAGGTTAAGTAAGTAACTAATTCGGCATTGCCCTGACTGTAGCTGCGCGCTCCCTGCACGACGTACGGGAGGCGTCACTCGCAGCTACATTTAGAATGCAAATATTGAAGTACTTAGTTGCTAGCAGTACTAGTGTTAAAGTACAAAGTGTGTGCGAGCCGAGCATTACTAGTTAGCGATGTGTCATGCACCGCGGTTCTACAATATCTCAGCTACGAATAGCGACTAGCTGTATCGTTCAGTGATTTTTGTTTTTGGCTGTAAACTACTGAAACAACAATATTATTATTATTATTTTACGTAAGTCAAATGATTGCGTCAGGGGTTTCAAGAATTTTAGGTTTGTGAAACCATATAAATTTGTGTCTATATAAATAAGGTAATGGTGCAAAGCATGGTAATTTTGGTATTATGTATCATTTCATCGCCAAATATCTTCAACTCTCGAGACAAAGTCGCACTAACTAGTACAAGCAGCTTTGTCGTCTCTGTCTCTTCAATTCTATTACAGTTATTTTAGCGCTGCAGCAGTCTGTCTACTGCTATATACAATTTTAATTCAAATTATAATATTTATTTTCTTATTCTCATTCCAACTTGAGTGATAATATTGACTCGATTATGTATTTATCAATTAAAGCTCATTGTGTTGTATGTGTTAAAGTGACGAATGTTATATTTTTGTAAATTATTTCAATCATTTGAATTTTTCGGAATGTTTAAATAGACATTGTAAGAAACGGCTAGTCTACGTTAGTGCTAGCTGAGACAAAATGAATTTTAATACTTACTCAGTTAAGGTTTATAGTATACAAGTATCTTCCATTAATACTTATTGACATTACAGTCAAGTGGAACACAACAGTATTTCATGATTTCGGTTTGTTTTCAAGCACAATCAATTCGATTTATTTATCAAACACGTATTTTGTTTAAATCAGGTTTGTAAGCATCACATCGGTAATTGAATATTGTTTTGATGTTTTCTAATATGTTTATAACTTAGTGAATTGATGTGAAGCGCGAGAGCCCGAGACTTGCTTGTTGCCGGTGGTCGCCTCGCTAGACAAGCCGTTTCCAATCATAACTTAGTTGCGATCAACGTGTGCTGGATCTCCAGCTTTACTTAGACAATGTTCTTTGGTATATTATTTGCAGTTTAAGTAAAAAAAACGTTTGTAATAAAATTTATATGAAATAATTACATGTTTTATTTATATTATTACTAGCTGACCGGTGACCCGGCAAGTTCATACCGCCCAACATATTCTCCTTTCTTTCTTCCTTTCCTTATAAACCTTCCCTGTACTTCCTCGAACATTTCAAGACCAAAATCGGTTCAACCGTTTTTGAGTTTTAGCGAGACTAACGAATGGAATTTATATAAATGAAAATGAATTTCCATTCGTATTCGTATTCGAGATTTTACACAACAATCCATCCTAATTAATGTTTTAAACGCTGACAAAAACCTGCCCAACACTTTTGGGTGTAGGAATTTTTACAGTACAGAATTCTGTCCAGTGATGGCTTAAACCCATGTGCTCTTTGAAGTAGTATATTTAACGCTTTTTTAGAACGGTTTATATCCTAAATCGCCACAAACCTTACAAAACACCTACAGTTCGTTCTATAAGCATGTGGTATAAGCATATGGATATATGTGGTTCGCCTGGAACGTTTTCCGGGGCAGGTTTTTTGTAGTATAAATAGTTTTGGCGCCAGAGTATAGTACATTTTTACGAACATTTTGTAAAAAAAATATTCCTAAGACCCTTGAAAGTAGAGCAAGCGGTGGATTTTCTTTATAGACCTACTGCTCATGTGATTGTGATACAGACTTTAGGAACTTGCCATAATCTCCAGCCGCACTGGCGGCTGGAGATTATCAGAACCAGCGGAGCTGTTTCTGATAATCCACAGATTTTGTCCTGCTCCTGTATTGATATGTCATAGTCGTTATTTTTAAACGAAAATGCTTGCGATGAATCTGCAAAAGTGTATCGTAAATAATCCGGGCGAAATTTTGATCTGCGACATCTCGATCGGTATCCAAGGGCCCAATGAAAAAACTAATTGTCACCATATCGGAAAATTGGGCTTAATGAGTTTTTTTTACAATATCTCTCTTCCAATTTCTCGAAAACATCTAGTACAAAATTAAACTAGACATTTCCTATAATTACTATATTTACAACTTCTTTATAAAATGAGTAGTTTTGAAGTTCGAGCGTTTCGTTTAAAAATAATAACACTTAGATGGGTGCCAAAGATGGAATTTATCAGAAACAGCTCAGAGCAGGAGTTTACGTCAAGTTCCTAAAGTATGTATCATAACCACATGAGCAGTAGGTCTATAAAGAAAATCTGCCGCTTGGTCTACTTTCACATCTTGTGGACATTATTTTTATTCCCAAAATCTCTGCAGAAGGATCTTGATAACTTTCAGGAATACTGTGTCGTCAACAAACTGAACCTAAATGTTTCGAATGTACTTCACACGCAGACCGAGTCCTGTCCTTTATGACTACAAACTCTCAGGGTGCACAATATCCAGAGTTAACAACATTAGGGACCTTGGTGTGATTTTTGACTCAAAGCTAATTTTTGATACCCATATAGATAAAATAGTGAATAAGGCATCTTCCGGCTTTAGGTTTCATCTTCAGTCTCTTCTGAATTTCATAATATAAAAACATTAAACATGTTATGCTGTGCGTTCGTCCGCAGTCACCTGGAATACGCCTCGCAGATTTGGAATCCTAACTACGCCATATATGTAGATCGTGTCGAGAGTATACAGAGGAGATTTCTTAGGTGCATCCAGTTTCGCTCTAAAACCTACATTAATAACTATATAGATCGTTGCAAGAGGTTTCACATCCTTCCATTATACGAGTGCCGTAAAATTGCAGATTTATCATGCCTGTTCAATATAGTAAATGGCTCATTAGATATACATATACCGGAGTTGGTGGACAGTATTTTTTTTAAGGGGGGAAAATCATCGAATGACTGCTCCCGCCTGGGTGAGGCGGGAGGGAGTGTCAGACTCTTACTGACTAAAAACCACCCCGTTCCTTCTCCTGCACGTCGAGCCGGAGCCCCGGTTACCCGTTAGGTTCTCCGCGACTGGTGGACAGTATAGGGTTGCGTGTGCCTTATGCTTTTCTGCGCAAACCTGTACTTCTCAACGTCCCGTCTACCAACACTGTTTATAGACAAAATTCATACATGATAAGAGCGTGTCGGACATACGATTCAGAGTGCCGGAGGATTGATTTAGATTCATTTCACACTAGCGTACGTAGATTAAAGAAATTAATGTCTTCAAGTTTCTTTCAAACATAATATTTTTTGTTTCGTCATATGCTGTCTTTTTAAACTAGTAATTTAATTACCTATAAGCGGAAACTTGTTATTGGCCGTTTATCTATAATTTAATCTGTGCTTATGTTATACCTAGCTGTAAGTTTTCCTAAAATTGTAAAATAAAAAAAATAAAAAAATGGTCTTAAACATGAACTTTACTATGCCCTGACGCCAAAACTACTCACATTACAAAAAGCTGTCTAGACATAAATTGCACGTTTTTCTCCTAAAATGCACACGAAAGAGATATTGCAAAAAAAAACTGTTTTTGGCCGCCATTTTTCAAAGACGGCGTCGCGAGCGGCGTACTTACGAGGGTACAAAATGGAAATCAGAAAGAGCACGTCATTAACCCTTAGAGCGCCACGTCAGTCACCGGTGCCTGACGCTAGTGGAGGTTTGACTTTCACTATTTTAAACTTGGCAGTTAAAGTGTTAATATCTACAATATTGCCCATTTTCAAAACTCCCGGAAAACATTCTAGGTACAACTACCAAATGCCTGAAATACAAGAGGCACTAGAAAAAAAATTTAAACCCCTCTCGACGTACACCCTTCGTAATAATTGAGCTATTGAGGGATGGGTTGCGGGAGTGACCTTGGGTTGGAAAGGACCCATTTATAACATCACAAACATACTTCAAAGGAAAGTTCCGTTTGTTTATGAAATAAAACAAAATGCATTATACTAATTAAAATTTTAATTATAGGAAAATAATGCAATAAAAATACTTATGTATACAATATTAAAGTACATAATTTTACAACTTTTCAAAATGTTTATCATGAAAATAATAATAATTTGAGTCAAACTATAGTGAAAAATTTGTGGGAATGCATTAAATAAAATCGATGGTAATATTTAATGAGAGGTGTACAACTGATTACGAAAACAATACATAAAACAAATCTATTCCATGATTACAATATAATAACTTGTCCACCGCTGCGCTTCTTCCGTATTTACAATCTGTACTCAAGATATGATATTGCACATTTAACACTTAAAATTACTTTGCATGAATTCATAACATTGGTAGACGGCAACCTGCGTTACAATAATTCCTTGTGCTACATACATAAATATTTCTCTTTTACCAGATCTTACAAGCGTCTTGCAACTTACAACGCATCCATTGATGCTGCAGCGCGTCGCGGCGCGCGCCGGTAACGCAACAAGCTAACCTAGTAGGTCACAGTGGCCACTACATAATGAAGTTCACGCGAATTATGTGAGGTAATATCACATTTGGGACTATTCATTAAATTTATTATATAAATAATTACACTAGCTACTATGTGCACGGTGTTTTATTCACACAATTTATTGGAGACGGTGGCTCTATGTATAAAACTATTATTTTGGGTAAAATATTCGCAAAATAATTTCATTACTAAATGTCATGTCTTCTCTCTAAAAAATATATTAACAGTTTCCTTAGCAACACTTGTGTACAGTTGAACGTGTAATAAATCGTGTGAATAAAAGTAGGCACGTAACATTCATACATACACACGTACAGGTATAGTATCAAGTTCGTCCACCGTGTGAAGGCGCGGCGTGGTACGTAATCTATCCTACGAGTCGTACGACGTAAACAACAACGGGTCAGGCACATCGTGGCGTCTCGTGCCGCTCCATTAGAAATTATATTACTACCCTGTTACAAGGTCCGCCTAGCTCGGCCCGGCCGACACGGGGCCCTACATAATTTCTAATAAAGAGGTTATTTACATCGCTAAATATATTGTGCTCTATGCATACTAAATGTAGACTCGTCTATTTGGTAACTTAACCTAACTGTATTAGTCACTGCTGAGATTTTTCAAGTACACTTTAGAGGTATACGCGAACATTGACTATGACGACTTAGGTGCGATAATTTTCAAATAAATGTTCATTAATAAAAGTCATTTAAAACAGCGACACAAAACATTCATAAAATACATTGAACATAATAAAACTAAAACCTTAGCCTACTACTTTCGTAAAACGTTCACATCTAAAACATTTAAATTCAATAACAACTTCTATATCGATTTAATATTATTTACAAAAATGTTCAGATTGATTACCGCGACGGTTAAATATAGTTATAAAATTGAAGATACCAGTAAAACTCTTTTGATATTGTCTTATTAGTAGATCATCACACGTCAGCTTTATAAGAGTGAAATTTTAAACAAGTCTAATTATGATTCATTTACTTACATGTATTATGATCACTTTGGTACATTAAACTAGTTATCATAGCCTTTCCTAAGCTAAAACATAGTCTGTAGTCCAATTTCTAATTTGATTCAGTGAACTGACATAGCTACCTACGTATACTTTGTAAAGTATTGATGGATTCGATTAAATAGAAATGGAAGAAAATTTATTTTTACATCATTAATATTTTGATTCATAGTAATCGATAGACTAAGTTGGAAGATTCATATAATAAACAAATAAAGCAAAATGTAAAGACAGAGAGCGACGGTAACAGACAGTGATTATAAAATAGATTATTTGACTATTTATTTATTTTATTTTAAACATCGATTCGAGTCAATTTCATTTTCGATTCGATATATTTAGTCGTCACAACGTTGTAACATCAAGATCTGAGGCTCATTTAACTGAATCAAATTAAAAATGGAACTTTAGAGGCAAACATGGGACAACGTTTACACAGACAGTATATACACAGTGGCTGGGCCTGGGCCGGCCTCGCACTCGTTCAGTCTCCGGGGTTGATGCTCCAAGTAGTGTTCAGTTCATCCACTTGCGGCAGTTGGGAGCTCCGCACATGCACATTATCTTGTGAGCATCGTCTTCTATGTCGAATTTATAATCGTAAGCCAACTGTAAAAAAAAATAAGTTTTGTTAAAAAGGAATTATACTATGGAAGGTGGTTTTGAAATGTTTGTTATGTAAGGTGTAAAGTTACCTCCTCTCCGCGCGCAATGCGTCGTTTGGCGAAGATAATTATACGTAGATGTCGGTCGACCTCGACCGTCTCGGCGACACAGTTGGGCTGGCACGAGTGGTTGATGTAGCGCGCCAGGCCGCCCGACAACGTCGCGTCCACCACGCGGCGCTCGTCCAGACGGAACATGTAGATTCCGCGATTCTACATAAACAAAACATCATATTAAAAACAGCGTCATTAGAAAGCGACCGTCATGTCTAAACAGTGTAATAGTGTTTCTTTACCTTAGCCTCGTATTGCTTCTCTCGTATTTCTGACAACTCGGAACGTATTATTTCTCCAATGTACTCTATGACCATAGTATGCTTCTCTAAGTCTCGAGCGGCGTATAGACCCAATCCTTGGATTTTGGACCTGAAAATACAGTATTTCATTATATTATGTGGTGTAAACAAACAGGTTTAGGACCAATTTATCCAAGACAAATTTTATTCAAGGAATAACTTTGAATATTTAACAATTCTTCCATACTAAAAACTCACAAATGTCAATTTTATTCTACAAGAATTGTCTGTTGATTGAAAAATCGGCGCTTAAAAACGGTTTGAAGTAATTACTCGGTCATCGTGTGTGCGCTATCGTCGAGTATGTCAGTGTACCTGGCGAGGTAGACGTTGTTCCGCCACTCGCTCTTCATCTTCTTGTACTGCGAACTCTTGGTGTGCACGAACTGCTTGGAGTAGGGGCAGGCGGGGTGGTCGGCGGCGGGCGGCGGCGCGGGCGCGGCCGGCAGCAGCGAGCGCGCGCCGCCGCGCCGCCACGCGCGCGCTCGCGCCTCGCTGCGCGCGCAGCCCGACGGGTTCACGGCCAGCCCGCCCTCCAGCAGCGCCGACCGCCCGAACTTGAACCGGTAGTCTGTCAGGGTCTCGATACCTACAACATCACAAATTCACGACCGCTTACCGCTACTGCTATACTCCTCTTAAATACTGCGATATTTAATGGCGTTACATTTCTTCACGTACCTGGTAAACTTTCCAAAACCCTAACTACGGCAGGTTCAGTAAGACCGAATAAATCTTCTCCCGTCACATAATTGGGCCATAGCTTAAGCACTCCGTCTTCACTGCGACCTTCGCGTAGAGCCGCAACAGCATCTAACACCTACAAAATATAATCAATTATAACGATTTATTTCTATAGAAAAAATACCGAAAAGTAATTTTTAATTTTTTTTGTGTGAATACCAGTCTTATGTCAAAAACTTATTTTAATCAAAGATCTTGGTTTGAGGCCGGTTATTTTCGATTTTCGAAATGTTATGATGGAATATGCACAAGAATAAAAGGAGTGATGTAAAGTAAGATAGGAATAGGAATAGGTAGTAGTATCCGGAATACGTACGTTGGCCCAGGCAGCGCGCGGAGTGGGCGCGGCAGTCTCCCCGCGCGGCTCGTCCTGCGCGCGCACGTGGAAGCGAGGCCGCCCCGCCTCCTCACTGATCCAACACAGGTAGCGACACCGGCTGTTGGCGCGGGACATCGACCAGTAGAACCGGACCTGGACACACACATTATTCATTAAAGCTTATCATCGACTATCAAAAGTATGATGACAAGGTATCTATTCAGTCTGTCAGTTAGGCGTGAAGCACATGGTGGTGCGGGGCAGTCTTATTGACCGCGACACAAACACAAATAATAAGCCGCCGTTCCGCTTCGTGCCGTAATTTTTTACTACACGAAACATACTTAAACTGTCAAACACCGCGAGGACACCGGTGACCGCAAACTATTGTTCTTTAATTGTGTCTATAATGACGGTACTCATCGAGTTAAATTTCCTGCAAAATAACATTTGAAGCAATTCTTACTCCTTACTAATATTATAAATCGGAAAGTGAGTGTGTTTGTTTGTTCCGCTTTCACGCCGTAACTACTAAACCGATTGCTTTGAATTTTTGCAGACGTAAAGTTAGCGGTCCGGATTAAATAATAGAGTACTTTTTATCCCGAAAAAATTTGATATTCCCGAGGGAAAACAAAAGTATTGGTATAGATGGCGCTGTGTGTATTGGTATATATCATATAGGCTACTTTTTAACCGACTTCATTATCCTTTTGTGACGCGAGCGAAGTCGCGGGTAAAAGCTAGTATAACATAAAATTAGCCCATTCAGTATAGTGAAGGAAACTTACGATTTTGTATCCTATAGGGTAGATGTAGTTGGGCGTGTGGAAGGCGGCGAGTTGATGCGGCAGCAGGTGTCCGGGGCTGAGGAAGATCAGGCCGCCCACGCGGATCAAGTGGTTGGTGTCCGAGTGGAGCATCACTGACGCCACCTGGCGCTGCTCGTCGCGCGCTATGTACACGCGCCGCTGCACGCTCAGCGTCGTCAGCTCGTTGTCTTTTTCATTCTGTCAATTATAATTAGTATTCGTTATTTTTACCCAACAACGGCGAAATCATAGGAGTGTCTGTTCATTTGTTACCTCCTTACTCATAAAACTACTGGCCATAATTTGATAAATTTAATGGGGTATCATTAGACGCGTCTCATTAGTGAGCTGATTATAGGGGACATAAAATTATATGAACTTGCATATGACCCCCTCCAGAGCACAAAAAAAAATGATTCAAAAAAGTTTGATTATGTCGTGTTTGGTTTGGTATCAACGGGCCACTAGCACTACAGTACATAATAATGAAACAGGACATCAAATAAAAAAATAACTTAGATTTTTATGTATGATGAGAAATGAAATGTACGTTATGTATAAGTTACCTTGGGAGCGTGCGAGTTGCAGAATGCCGTCTTGTTCTTGTAGAAGACGCAGTTGTCCTTGACGGCGCAGCCGAGGTGGTAGACGCTGCCGCAGCGCACCTTGAAGCAGCGCACGGTGGCGCCCAGACGGCGGCAGGCGGCGCAGGTGGCGCTGGAGCCGGCCGCCAGCGCGGTCTCCACGTTCATGAGCGCGCCGCTGACGGTCTCGTACACTCCCTCGGACCACAGCGCGCAGTTGAGGTGCACCCAGCGGTCCACGTCGCAGTTGAGCAGGCGAGAGACTCCGTCGGCCACGCCGTCGCCCTGTATGCCGCAGAGCTCGCAGCGGCGCACGTCCTCGTTGGTGACGGGCATGATGGCGACGCCGGTGCGGAACACGAGCTCGGTGAGCTCCCTGTCGGTGGGCCGCTTGTACTTGACGGGCGGCCCGATGCAGCCCGGCGACCACGCCTTGTAACGGACCCCTCTATACTTCTCTTTCTCGCTGCTCTGGTTGCTCTTCTCGTCTTGTTCACTCTTCAAGTCTTCGTCAAGTGCGCTGACGTCGTCACCTACTTCTTTCATCAGCTCGTCATTGTCGAGGGAATCCATGAACGACAAGTCCATTTTCTCATCCTTGATGTCTGGTTTTATATCTAAGTCATCGGTTTCCATGCTTTCTGTGGATGCAGTGTCGAAGTCGTCTCTATCTTTCGACAAGTTGGTGTCAGCATCTGACTTGTTGTCATCTTTGATGGTAGTCTTTGACTTTCCGTCAAGGATAATATTGGTAGGACGCCAGGCGAAACTCTCGTAACACTGCGTACTACAGAAGTAAAGCTCTGAATCGCTGTCGCACAGAATTTCTTCAGCATTGCCTTTGTTAGCCGATAGTAATGGAAACTCTGAAGCTTTAGCTCTAACGACCGAGTCTAAAATAACAACGTCACAATGGCGACAGAACTTAGCTGCGCCATTTAATATACTTTGAATATCAATAGGTGTCCCTTCTTTCCCGTCTTTACCCTTAGATCTATAGAGGCCAAGTTTATGAGATGGTGGAGTTGCTGTTCTTTCTATAATTTGATATGATGTGGGTGGAGGAATGTGTAGAATCCCAGCGAGCTCTTTTAATACACCTAGAATATCTTCCGCTGCACCCGAAGTGAGTGTGAGCGTCACGGTGACATTCTCATTGGTTTCCGTACTTCCGGGTGAATCTCCACCCTTGACCTTCGCAGCATCTGTGTCTAGTGTCTTCAACGCCTTCATGTTATCGTCATCATCCTTCGATTGATATAACGACACTGGCTTCACTCTGATCGGTACAGGAGCAATTATGGGAATTATAGGCGATATTCTTCCGGATGCTGAGTCACTATCTTCATCTTCTTCTTCATCGTCAATTAATTTAAGACCTGGGAACCGGTTTGGTGGCTCTGTCTCGAGACATTCAGGACTGGAACAGCTGACGATGCTATCAGGCGTGTCTGTGTCGCGTTCTTTACAAATAAAGTCCAGTTTCTTGTCTTCTGGATCATCATCAAACAAGATAGGTTGGAATTCTTGGTCATAAAATCCTCTCTGAGTAGATGCTGGTGGTTTCTCAGGCAGGGGTTCTTCTTCCCCGAATGGTTTTGTATTATAATAATCTCCAACATTCGGTATCTTGGCATTACCAAATTCGCCAACTAAATCTCCTTTTAATACATCATAGTCTTTATTTTTTAATTTCGTCAAATCCCCGGATCCAAAGAGTGGGCAAACAGCAAAGTTAGTAGTCAGAGCTGGTTCTTGAATTTGCATTGCAGGCAGTAATCGTAACTGCGCCATCAAATTGTCAATAAACGTGTCATAGTCCTCTTCGTAGCGAGAGCCCTTGCGTGGCCTCTTCTTGGCGTTGGCCGCAGTCAAGTTATTTTCAGCAGCGGCCTTCATATTCATTTGTAATTGCTTCCGTTTCTTTTGTTGATATTCTCGGCGCTTTCGTTTCTTAGCTTCCGACGGAGTCTCTGGAGCATTGACCTCTGATGTCGCATCCATGTTGACACTCTCCGGAAACTCTTCCTTCATAGGTTGGTCAAGTTTTCCCTGATCGGATGCTGTCGAGACACCAGAAGTCGCTGACTGCTGAGAGCTCTCGTCAAGTAATTCTTTTTTCACATCCATAGGCGTAAACGGTCTGTGAACTGGACTTTGTTGAGGCGGAGCGATTTCTTTCTTGATAGCTTGTTGAAGCTGCTGATTTTCAATACTCATTGGATACATTTGCATCGACTTCATCGTGGGAGAACTTTCAGGGACAGGTGTAGTTTCTTCTTTGCTCATCATCTTCATAGGTGGCTTGCGAACATCCATCAATGATTGCGTCGAAGTTTGTGTCAAAGGCGATATGGTGGAAGTCGGAATGGATTGTATAGGTCGAGAGGTGAACGGTGAGTTCACTACGCTACTGGTTATAATATTATGCCGCGGCGAGTTCTTTGCTATTTCGACTTCCTGCGTTAACGTCAGAGTGGATGGTGGGATCGAGGGTCTCGCCAGCTGAGCTTCGAGTGAAGGAATGCTGCCGAGCGCAGGCGCAGTCCGCTGTATGGCCATGGCGCGCGCGGGGACCACTGCGGCGGCGGTGGTAGTAGTCTGCAACAGTTGCTTCAGCAATACATTCTGGGATTCATCATTCTTCTGGTTGGCAGTACATTGTTGTATATTGGTGTGCTTGCTACCCGCGTCGGTAGTGGTAGTTATCGCTGTATTCGGCTCGTCTGTCTCCATAGGTTCCGATTTTACAACGACGGCCTCCACACTGTGTCGTTTCGTTGGTTGTATGTGGCCCACAATAACTTCACTTTTCGGTTCATCGGTCGATTTAGAGCGTTTTAAAGGCGAGGTCAATTGCGTATGGAGAAGTTTGGATGACGTAATAAAATTAATGGAGCCCGGTGGAGCTGGTTTAGCTTGTATTTGGTTTATTCCCGAGCTCACAATGCTATGGGTGCGCACTGTCACATTCGGTGCGGGTTCTTTGTTACCTATCATTGGTCTAGATGTCATGACTAAAGCCGGCGGCTGGCTAGTACTGATACTCTGTTGGTTAAATGATAAGTTACTTGTATTTATTTGTCTAGTTGGTTGTAGCAACGTATGGCCTAGAATGCTAGTCTGTAGTGACTGATTCTTCTGGTAGCTGCACATGCTAGTAGTGATAGTGTTATTCGAGTGCATGATAGTAGGTGGTGCAGTAGAACTATGTATCTTCGAGAGAGCTGGCATTTGGATGATTTGAGAGGCGACTGATGTCGGTCCAGATTCATCCATGGGAGAGAATGATGGGTTCGAAATCATAGGAGCAGGTGATTTCATCAAAGAGTTCTGTAGGCCTCCAGGAGAACTGATGGGGGACACGGTAGGAGATTTTCTCATTTGTCCCATCGACGAGAGCGTGTTGACCCTGGAGCCAATAGCCTGAGCAGCACTCATGGGCAAACTATCAGACGCCGAGATTGTTGCGGTAGGCTTATCAATCCTCTGTATAGGCGAGGGTCGCGACGCAGCCACTTCCACTTTGGAAGAAGGCAATAAATTTTCAAAGTTGACTTGTGTGGGTGTGGTCGCGTCACTGTTCTTGCGCAGGACCGGCTGCGTGTCCTTGGGCGCGTTGGTGTTGAGCGAGGACATGATGGTCCGCAACTGCTGCGACACGTTGGCCATGGTGGACGTGAGCTCGGCGGGCTGCGACAGCGGGGACAGCTGCGGCACGCTCGCCGACTGAAGCGCTAGTCTCTCTGGCTCGCGCTTTACAAAAGCGCTCTGCTCTTGATTCTCTTTCGGATCTTGCTTGGGAGCATTTGCATTTTGAATATTAGGGTTTATAGGTTTCGGGTTTGGCTGCTTCATGCCATACGTCTTAGCGTCGTCGCCGATGTTCTCCAGTATGCAGAGCATGTCCTCGAAAGACTCGACGTGCTTGTTGCTCTCCGCAGTCTCGTGGTGGTCCTGCATCGTGATGTCATTCAAGTACCTCTCTTGAGATGGAGTGGGCGACGGGATTGATATTTGCACGGAATCCTGCGCCATGTCCGAAGTAATCTGCATATTTGAATCTATTACCATTTCTTTTGTTTGATTAGCGATCGCCTTTATTGTCTTTACAACATTCTCTTCCATTTTGGCGTCCGGTATGGTCGGCTGTGGCGGCGGTTCTGAGATACTCTTACTATAAGACAGTAGTAAATTGCTCTGTAAGTCGTCTTCTGGTTTGTCCTCGTCATCTCCCTCCATTATATTGTCAGGTATTTTCTCAGGTATAGGATCTGGACTCTTTATGTCTGCTTTCCCCAAAAGTAATGGAGTGCGGTCGCTGAGGCATAACGTGTGCGGGAGTTCAGTTTGCTGGCTGATCTCACTTTCGATGTCGATGTCTTTTGTAGGTTCCTTAAATATTCCAGGTCGGTGGTCCATTTGTGATGTGCCCTGAGAACTCATTGTTGCCAGCTGTTGAGATGTCGATGACATGGGGTTTAAGTTCAGATCCTTGTCTGGGTTGTGTTCAGACGAGACAGTGCTGTCAGGCGAGGCGGCATCGTCTTGGAATATCTTTGCTGGTAGTGTTGCGTCGTGTGTCACGGACAAACTAGATAGTTTTGAATTAGAAAGTGCGAGCATCATCGGCTTTTCTATAGTTTTTACAATTTTTTGTTTCACTTGATGTTGAGTCAATATAGAGACAGGCACGCGTGGTGGATTGGTAGCTTTCGGCATGTTCGATGATATCACACTTATAACAGAACTAATTGGTTTGGAGAGCGACGGCGTCGACATGTTGATCGTGAGAGGTGGCGTGGCCAAGTTCAGCGGCACCTTCTTGATCTGTGACTTGGAGACTCCAGCCACGTGGCTAGCCACACTAGCGATCGGTACCGATAGATTTTTCAGTACCGGTACTGAGATAGTTTGGTTAGCTATCGAGACAGAGGCCACCGTGGCCTGCGACACCTCGTCTAAGATCTTGGTATTGGAGTGCGGCGATAGCATGCTGGCGCTGAGTAGCGGCAGGCGAGCGCGCGGGCCGCCGCTCGGGCTAAGGATCTTGTACTGCTGCACGCTGGCGGGCTGCTTGCCCGTGGACAGGCTGATGACGGCGACGGTCTTGGTGGTGGTCTCGGTGCGGGTTGGGGCGCGCTCGGCCTCCTCCTCGACCTCGTCGTCCGGCTTGCCGCTGTCGATGAGCTCCTCGAAGTCCTCCTCGGTGGCGATGCGCTCCTCGGGCGAGACGGCGTCGGGCTCGACCAGCACGATGTCGTCGTCGTCCAAGTGCTCCACCAGGTCTTCCACGTCATCCGCGTCGCGCGCGTCGGGCGCGTACACGACATATCCGCGCGCGTCGGAGGGCGCGGGCTCGGCGTCGTGCTGGGGCGCGGCGCGCGGGCGCGGCGGCGTGCGGCGCTTGAGGATGGACACCTTGGTCACGTGCGCAGGGCGCGGCGGCCAGCCGGGGCCGGGCGCGCCGCCCCGCAGCCCGGCGCGCGTGTAACGGTAACCGGGCGGCAGAGGCGCGGCGCCGTGTCCCCCGTGCAGCCCGCCTCCATGCTCCATGAGCGCGTGCGGCGCGGGGGACGCGGCGGGGGAAGGGGTGGGCGTGCGCGCCACGTGGGGGGAGCGTGCCACGGAAGGGGAGGCGGGCGCGCCCCCCATGGGACTGTACTGCTGCCGCTGCAGCATCTGTTGTCGCTGTAGTGAAACACGAACCGATTATTTAAATATTCACGCTCCGCTATGAAATCACAATCAGAAAGGAAGCACAAAGCACCAACATAAAATACCATGACAGTTTCTGACTATGATGTCATATTTACAAACTATCTATTTATGTTTCTTTGTTAAACTATTTATGTTTACTTACCGCCATCTCATTGGCAGGATTTCCTGGAGATGGAAGCGGCTGTGGGCTGCCGAGCGGTGACGTTTGTTGGCGACCTCCATACGGTCCGCCCACTCTAATACCTATTAAATAAGACAAGGATTAATAACTATGTAAAATTGTAAGTACTTACTAAACTTGAAAGCATTTTAGTTGAGTCTACTATTTATATGTACCTTGCTGATGGTGTGGTGGTCTAGCAAACCGCGTCGGTAAAGGCGAGCATCCAGGTGCTGGTCGTGAGAACCGACCAGTTGCGTAATCAACCTTGAAACGTAATTTTAAAATTAATATCACTATTATATATTAAAAACATCTGTTAAAAGTTATGGACCCATCCTTACATTTTGCATTTGTGGTGAATGTGACGCGACTGGACTCTGTATTTGTGATTGTTGGTATATCTGAAACAAAATAAAAGATATTCATTTATTTGCTTTTGAGAATACAATTACTATAGCGAATAAATGAAGTAAACTCACTTGAGGGCTCCGACTAGGTGTCGGTAGTTGCGGGCTGGTCCTTTGAGCTTGCAACTGTTGCAGGAAGTGTTGCGGCGACATCGACGTATGCATGGGGGATTGTTGCGTGTGCATCGGCGATTGTTGCATATGCATCGGAGATTGTTGCGAGTGCATCGGCGACTGTTGGGGCATCGGAGAGTGTTGCGGCATTTGAGTCTGTTGTACGTGCATCGGCGACTGTTGGTGCATCGGCGACTGTTGCGGATGCATCGGAGACTGCTGGTGCAAGGGAGACTGCTGCGGGTGCATGGGGGACTGATGCATCGGCGACTGCTGCACCGATTGCTGCGCCATGCCACCCTGCTGCACGTGCATGGGGGACTGCTGGGAGTGCAGCGGTGACTGCTGAGTGTGCAGTGGGGATTGCGTGGACGGGTGCAACGGGGACTGCGACGTGTGATGCAGCGGCGACTGCTGGGAGTGCAGCGGCGACTGCATGGGCGACGTCAGCTGGTGCAGCGGCGACTGCGGCGCCAGCGGGGACTGCACGTGTAGCGGCGACATGGCGGGCCGCGCCCCCGGCTGGCGCGCGCCCGCGGCGCCGCGGCCCGCGAACTGCCCCATGGGCTGCGCGCGGTCCTGGCCGGCGCCGGCCAGCTGGCGCACGAGCTGTGGCTGGGGCCCGCCGGCCTGCTCGATGACTAGCGTGCGCCCGCCCTGGGTGACCAGCCTTCCTTGTGTGTTGAGCGGTGACGTCACTAGACCGATCCTCTGCTGGGATATCGGTTGCCCGTCAGCCCCGATGACAGTTTGTTGAGTGCGAATGAGTGTCTGTTGTTGCTGTATGCCAGCACCCTGCAGCCCCAGCTGCATCGGTCGACTGATGGTGCTCTGCTGCTGCACCTGCTGGCCCTGGCTAATGTTCTGATTCTGAGCGAATACCGTTTGACTCGATGTGATCTGCTGCTGCTGGTTTATCACAGTTTGCTGAGCGAGCTGGGGATTTTGCTGTCGCTGTTTCGTCTCATATTCCTAAAAGATTAAAATAGTTAGTGGTTGCAAAGCAATAAATAAATAAATCAGGTCATAGAGATAATTCGTTACCTGAATAAGCATGCTATGCTGACGTGCTTGTTTGCGTGCTGCTTCGAGATGCTTCTGTAACGCTTGTTGTTCAGTGGACACGCGCTGCAGCTCGGCTGCGTCGTTAGGCAGCAGTTCGTTGCCCGACTTACGCAACTGTCTCTGCTTACTATTCAGCGACTGCAAATTGAAAAGCCTCAAGTGTAAAATCGGAGCTGGAGGTCGCGAGTCGCGACATGCCCCCGAGTTAGTCACAGGTTCTCTGTGTTACCACGAGCCCGGAGACGGCACCTGAAACGATCTACTCGGCGGCCGGGAGGACGGCGCTGCCACTACTAAGCTCACGAACACGAAAGCGCACTACTGCAGCTCACCTTGCGGATCTTGCGAAGCTTCTGAACCTCGACCTCGTAGTAGCGCTGCTGGTCGGCGGCGAAGGCGTTGTACTGCTTGAGCCACTGCTCGTACAGCAGGCGCGCGTGGTGGTCCGCCTCGCTGGCCGCGCGCTCGGGCGGGGCGGGCGGCGCGGCCGGCGCCACGCCCGCGTACAGCGGGATGGCGGGCGGCGCCGCGGCCCCGCAAATAAGTTCGACAATAGGGGGGCGCGGGGGGCGGCGCGGCGCCCGGCCCCGCCCACTCTCCTCCCTCGCGCTCCTGCTCGCGCTTCTCCTGCTCCAGGAGCTCCTCGAGAAGCAACGGTTGCTCCTGGTTTACGTTCTGACGGTTAAAGTAAGCCTGTTGACGACGCTGTCGCCCGCCACCGATAGCTCCGTCACCGCTCGCGATGCTAATTGCCTACGCTGCCTAGTACTATCACAGTATCACTTAGCGTCACGTTTCGTGAATCGAGCTCGGTGCGTACGATGCGGCACTCAGTATTTATTTGAAAATTGCTCTTTGTGGTCGGTACAAAAATTATAAAGTTACCTGTCTCATCTTGACTTTTGAGCCGAATGAAACTCGTTTTATAAACACATTCAAAAATAAAGAAATTACAAATAAAAGATTCTTGGAGATTTTTCGACTACAAGTTACAAGAGATATAGCTACATCATTTTCAGTCGGCTCGACCAGATTACTAGAGGAATTAAAATAAATGGGCTACGATTGTGAAGTGAAAAAAATATTATCATGACAATTTAACTATTAGACGTGACTTAGAAATAGGTAACAACTAATAGTTCGGTGCGCCAACTATCGGAAACTGATTACAAAGTAATGTGTAAGATATTACGCAGTGCTATAATCTATAGTACATTTATAAACTGTACTTTAATATCAGCAACAATCAACTAACAAAAGTTCACTATAGAAAACAAAAAGTCATTAAAGATATTATGATTGTGTTCGTGTATCTCAACTTTAATGTCTCATGTGTAGTACGTCTAATATACTCCTATTTTGTAAAATTGTACTCATTACGATATTTTGTACTAAACAATTGCTACGGAGTATGACATCACCATCTTAAGATGTAGATCGGATATAAGATAAAGTTTTACGAATTTACTTATATCTATTTGTGTCGGCCAATGACAAGGTAACAAACTAAATGTCCCACAGCCAGGTCGACATTCATACATTTCCACCACCATAACAAGATGAGACAGGTAATCAGACCCTAAGCTCTCTGTACTGTATACTCTGTGCCAGACTGTTTAGATCGTTAGTGTAAAGTGTTAGGAAGGATGCTGAAAAGGTACAAAGGTTAGTAGTCAGTACGCATGCGTGCAGCGAGCAAGCCAAGTAAAAGCATTAAAACAGACACGAAAAAGGTGGTTAGCGGTGACCAGGCCCTTCTACTCCGACTCGTGGACCCTATATCTAAGGAAAGGAAGTCTAAAGAGGGACAGGACAGAGGAAACATCATACATCTGTATGAGATTGCAATTTATTCCTTTACAATTATAGATATTGTTTTAATAGGTAAAAACGACTTTTCCACGATAAAATCAGCTCCGAAAGGGAAACAATCAAGTGTGTTAGAAAACAAAGTAATAGATCTTGGGAAAACGAGAATACAGAGTTCTGTGTTCTGTGTACATATTGTTTATGTGATAAAGGTGCTCATGAGAACCGATAGACAAAACTATGCCCATAGACACAATTTTACCAGCGCCATTGCAATTAAAGATATTTTCATGTGTAAATTACGTCATTGGACTTCGTTTCCATCGGTTCTGAGAAGTTACGCTAAGGCATGCGTTCATAATAAACTTGTGTGCCTTGGTAAATTCATGTCGTATATAATTCGGGGGAGGTTTGTAGGAATAGTTTGCCGTGAGTTAGCGTAGGTAGTAGTGGCGGTAGTGGTGGAGTGAAGTCAAGGCTCTGACCTGCAGCAGTAGCGGGCGGCGGTGCAGCCAGTCGCCCCAGTCCGCGGCCTCATAGGGCGCCGGCCCGCGCCAACAACCATCAACCACCCACATGCAAACAACACGCTGTACTCCGCCGGCCGCGACATCGCGCAACTCATACGACGCATACTCTTACTTTCATCATTTATACCCCACTTATTTGTGCCAATTACTTGTGGTTTCGTGGGGTACGATATAATTGATGGTGGTGATTAATGAAAGTATTAATGACTTTGAAAGGTCCAGTTTATAAAACATCGAGTTGTTTTTGTATGCTAAATTTTTCTCCATGGTCGTATGAATTGTTAGCGACAGTATACCCATGCAATATTAGTCTTCTAAGCTTGTAACGAATGAAACAAGCGACGTCGTTCAATATCAGCGTATATTTACAGTCGATAAGATCCGCCACCAACGCATAGACAAATTAATATTGCTTTGGATATGATTGCGTTCATACAACTTCACATTGTCTGCGATGCGATCAAATATCGAAGCGTCTGATGAACATTGTTACTAGTTCACATTTATTGCAACTCGGTGAGACAAACTGACAGTGACTTGTAAATGTGAACCCAAGCTTACTGCATACATTTAAAGCGAATGAATTTACTTCGACACGTCGCGTCGCCGTGCCGAAACAAACTCATACAAAAATAAAAACACGTAGATAAAAAATATTACTGCATGCACGACAATGTATCCAAAAATCCTCCAAGACTATCAAAATACTCATTATTATAATTAGTAAGATTACATGGTTGTAAGTTGTCATTAATGTGTAAGTTCTTGCTCACTGGCTTATAATATTTGGTAAATTATTTTGTGTGGTTTTTGACGTGACACGTAATAAATTATAATGCTGCTTTTTATAATACAATCAATGATTGCAGTGTTTTTATTATTGAGGACAAGAATTACAATTAGTTATTAATCTGAATCACAGTGTACCTATCTCAAATTTTATAATGTTTGCTTAACATGTAAGTATAATAATGTATCAAATTAAATAAGTATACTGATTTATTGATGTACAGGCATCATGTAATGTAATAAGGATATATTACGGTCGTGTGTCACGTCACGAATGTGTAGTCTGTGGTGTAGGTATAGTGTCGTGTGTAGTGGACCTACCTGTGGGTAGGGGGGCGGCGGCGGCTGGGGCTGGCGCAGGGTGCCCGGGTACGGGGGCGGCGGCGGGGGTCGGGCCCCGCCCGGGGCCGGTTGGCCCACGGACCCCACCTGACCCGGTTGACCCACCTGGCCCACTTGGCCCACTTGCCCCACTTGTCCGCCTGATACTGTGGCTGCGGATATGAATACCATAGTCAATAATATCACGTAAATAACAATATTACTTACTTATTTTAATTATGAGAGAGCTGCAGCTCGAATGATTTGGTTCGCGTTGTTTCGCTGTGTAAATGAGGTTACCAGAAGTCCAATCCTCATCCCCAATTCTTAAATCCCTAATCTCCAAAAAGCCGGCAAGGCATTCGTAGTCCTCTAATTATGCGCATGTCCTTGGGATGGTACCGATTGCTTACCACCAATTGATAAGTCTGCTCGTTTATCGCCCTTTCATAAAAATAACCAGTGTACGTAGTGCAAACGACGCACGAGACATTGATGGAAATAGCAATATAGTAATTAACGTGTGAATATAGTAAGTATAAGCATATGGTATCTGCAAGTACCGGCGTATGGTAGATGCGCGAGCGCGACAGTCCGGTCGGGCCTGACGACGCCGACGGAGCCGTCGGCGGCGACGAGCCTGGTGCCGGCGGCGATGCTGCGGCCGGCCGCCAGCGCGGCGTTGACCTGCGCCGTCATGGCGCTCACTATACTGGCCGCGCTCGCGGGGATGCCCGCCGCACTGCCGCCCTGCGGGACCATACACACTCTTATAGGTTTGCCAGGTGGGAAATTACCGACAACTGGACGGTTCGTTAATAAATTAATGCCTAGCCCGAGTTTGTTTTACGTTTACCACTCTGATTGATTGGTTAATTTGGAGCTGGCCAATTAAAGCGCTGAATGTCATAATACGTATCAATAGCATCAACGTAAAACAAACCCGCACCCCGTTCACGTAACTTAATATGGTGTTTTATACAATGACTATATCAAATTCCAAGATAGAAACTTATCATGGCTATGGAACCGTACAAAAACACACAATAGAAGGGTATGTAGTTTAGTTTCGTACCTGCGCATAGTGCATATGTTGCGAGGGAGTGAACTGCACCTGTGGCCGTTGTACCACTTGCTGGCCCATCACCTGCCCGGGACCGAACTGTGGACCCCGCGCACCCTGCTGCAAATATACAAATCTCTTATACCACCAACAACACAACAAATTATTTGCAAAGGAAACATTTTTTGGTTTTATCTCTTGTTTATCGCAACATAGGTCTCTGCCTACCTCTTCGGGGAAAACAAGGCGTGATGTTATGTAAATATCATAAAAGAAAATCGACCGCAGACTTATAAAGTGTACATCTGTACCTTACAAAACGTCGGCACCATTAACTATCAACAAGCATGCATGACGAGATTATTTAATGTAGATGAAGCGAAGGTGGTATGACTAACTTTAGTCTTTTAGTCGATGAAAGACGGGCGTGGTACTATGTATGTACAGACAGCCAAGTTATTCGGTATACAGGTAAGAAAATTATAGACTGATTATTTAGTATAAGGACAGTAGCTATTATTGTACTAATTTGGGTACATGCCAACTGATCAAATTCAATACTTTTTTCGATTTGTCAAAACGACGTATTCTCTGAATTTTGTACGAGATTGTTTATTGTGACGTCACGTTATTTTAGCGTCAAACAGCACACTTACTTCTTAAGCATTTGCTGGACAAATACTAAATTAAAGTTGGTCATAAAATCAATTAATGAAAGCGGGATTATTTTTTTAATATTTGATTGTATTGAACAGTCGAAATAATTTATTTTTGATTGAGGAATGTACCCAATTGTATGTTACTGTCTTTGGATTGAATCAATCTTTATTTTCTGCATAGTGAATGAGTTGGCAGCCTGCAGTATGTACGTGAGTTACCTGATGTTGCTGTAACTGCACCCGTTGCGGTGTGTTACTGAACATCTGTGTGAACACTGGCCGCGGGGGCTTGTCTTCACTCTCCAGTTTCACTTCAGATTTGATGGCCTGCATAGCATTCTGTATGGACGACGAAACACAAAATGAACACATAAAAGCATGGAGGTTTAATTTCTGATTAGCTAATGAGGATGGTAATACACTTATGTCTAAATACTTCAACGCTACTCAATTTAAAGTCGCGCTTAACTATATATAGTTCTGTCACTACTAATTCTTTGTAAAACGACAGAGATGGCACGATAATTAAGTACAACTTTCAATTGAGTACCCGTTCAGTATTTGGCCGTTAGTAAATTATATGGCAATAAATAATGAGCTAATTTGATATTTATTTGGTCAAATGGATTTGCAAACACCCGATCGTACGTTGATAACTGAACTACCAATATGATACCTTAATTGATGCAACCCCTTCCCATTTTTATGTAGCATGTCTTTAAACCTCTAAAATAAGTGACCGGACGCAATCGGCTGAAAGCATTTGGCGACAGCCAGGACAACGATATGTATGCACCGTGACACGACAAGTAAATATGTCTTAAAAGATTACACACCATACTCGCATTTAGATGACGATTTAAGAAAATTACAATGTAAACACGAAACACACTAAAAAGTATTGCTAACTTTGTCCAGATTCTAATTAGCCAACAAAAATACAGTGTAGTTAAATACCTGCAATGCAATTTGTTGATTCTGCGATATAACTCTCTGTACTGGGTCGTTGTACATCTGTTGTGGTGCAGGTGTAGCTGGAGCTTCCAACTTAACGTCGGGTTTCACATCCTCCATCTCTGCCTTAACTTCAGGCTTACATTCAATATTCTTCACAGCTTTTTGTAAGTCATTGTACATGTTCTTGTTCTCTTGAGCTTGCTCCTGTTCATCTCTGAAAGTGTTTTGTAAGTGATATGAGTATTGGATAAAGATTGAAGATTGTATTGTTTAGAAATTGGGATAAGTTAGTTAATATTCTTGTTGTAATTTTATTTTACATTTCACACATTTGCTAGATCTAAATCCCAACTAGTTCAAGTTCCTTGTACCATAGAAACATTTATATTTTGGAGTGAGCCATACTTATGGCTGCTTAGCCTCAAAGGAAACTGGCGTGAAATAACGCCCGTGTTTCGTATTATAAGCGTGGTTACCTAAGGTCAAATGCTCCAATTTATAAGTCGCAACGCACGTTTAACTTCTCAGAGGCCTTAGAACGAGTTTATTTTACGTTCAAAGTAATCGAAAGGAGACCGCGGTCAGCGCTCTGATTGGTTGGTTCATTGGTAACGGCCAATCAGAGCGCCGAACGCATACTCTGATTACCGAAGGCCTCTGGAGTTGCGACATCCATAGGCAAAATAGATTGCTTCCCATCAGGTAATCCCTTCTCCTCGTCCTATTCCATACAAGAGTGATGACTTACTCTGGCTCCCTCTTGGCGTGTCTCTCAGGCATCCCGTCGTCAGCGAGCTCTAGTCCGTCCAGTATATGCTCTGCATCATTGAGTGCTGCCAGTTCAGGGTCGGCATACTCCAGGATGTTGAACTGCTCTCCTATCTCAGCTGTGAGCGTCTCAAATAATTCCTCGTCATCCTCACCGCCTAGCCCGGTTAAGATGTCACCCACCTAACAAAAAATGTCATTTAGTTTTGTTCAGACGTCAACTTACACTACTCAATGACGTAATTCAATATTATAATGCATTACAATGAGAAACATTGTTGTTTAGTTATTACTAGCGTCCCTCACCAGCTTCACCTAAAAGTTGATAGAGTACTTCGGAAGCTATCCGCTTGTCTCTGTCCCAGTTACCCTGTCTAGATAGAAATTAACAAAATCCATTAATATTTAAGTTATCTTTACCTCTCCGATATTAGCGCCATCTTGTTCGAGTTTGTCCATGTCTCCCATATCCATCTCATCGGTCCCTTGCTCCTGGTTGGACTCCTGCTTATTTTCATTGTTAGGAGCTGGAAAGCACATTCATATAAAGGACTTATCTATAATTTCGTACACAACCATTAAAATAATCGTTAAAATGCAACTGTAGGTAATTTAGTATTAAAAACCGAGCCAACAAAGTTACGGGCGCAGTTTTAGAGCATACCAAACTACCAAATACTGTACTCCATGATAAAAACAAGTTTGATGATGTCTTGAGTCACCTTGTAGAACGAAATGGAGATATGCATGATCAATGAAGCGGAGTACCTTGTGTGAGTTTGTTTTACGTTAACGCAATCGAAGCTTTTATGACGTTTGGCATTCTGATTGATTCAATTAACCAACCAATCAAAAGGCTAAACGCTGTAGCGTTTCGACCGTGTTTACGTAAAGATAACTCGCAGTAAGTATTCAGTTTTAAAACTAAGATTTTCATATAGATATTCAAGACATAGAATACACGGAAATTACATTCAGACCCGAAAACTGATAACAAAAATAATTATTTCCTGCAGGGATTTGCCCGCGATGCGTGGTACGCAGTAAAAGCAGCGGTATCAAAGAATACCAGTGTAATGCAAATACATAGTATACCATTATTTTGCACGACATTTTGTTTCTGTTCCACCATCTGTTGTGGTGCGGGACTCTGGACCGCTTGCTGCAACTGACTGTTGTCTGCCGATATCAAGCGCTGTTGCATTATCACTACGAAAAACAATACAAATGTAAATATTACCATGTAACATTAACTGGTTTCTATGGAAACCAAAGATTGAAATATGTATAGATATATGAAAATCAGACCATACTTTCTTGAGTTATAAATGTTATAAATAACTTGGTTTACGACTTCTTCAGATAGATGTAAGATGATACTTACAGTGATGGTCAGGTCGTGCTGGGTGCATGAGTGGCGCCCTCGCTCGCAGCGTGACCGGCAGGGGCTGGCGGAAGGGCTGGCCCTCGCCTACACCCGGCGCTGGGGACGCGCTCTCATGTGCTGTACACAAAATACACTTGATTTTAACACCAATATTAATTCAAGTACTTCTTTGCTTACTAAACTGCTCAACTAACGAAGTCTATTTTCAATCTCGGCTATAGATACCAGCATAAAACAATGTCTTATACGACATGTTCAACACTGGACGTCAACAAATTGACCAATACTCACGTCCAGGCCACATTTTCTCGGGATGTCTTTGCAATAAGTCCCTGAGCTGGCGGTTGATGTCGTCATTGTTCCCGTAGTGTTGGAAGCGCTGTGCAGGGAACGCACTGCGCGGCGCCTCCGCCGGCGGCGCGGGGGGCGCAGGCGCCGGGGCTCCCGCGCCCGGGGGGGAGCTGCCGTCCGGGGTACGTAACCGCTGCATGGCTGCTTGAGAGTCGAATAAAAAATATCAAATAAATATAAAGTACTAAATTTCCAACTGAACTTTCACAGCGTGCTAAAAGGTGCTACTCTCGTTCAGAGCCATCGTCAGATGTTTGAGCTGACGAGCCGTAACGCCAGTGAGTCCGGCAGTGCCCGCGACAGGTACCTTGCATGCGCTGGTCGTGTATGATCTGTTGCTGCTGCTGCGTCTGCTGCTGGCGCTGTTGCTGCAGATGCTTCCACTGGCGCTCCTGCTCGGCCTCGCGCGCGCTGCGCTGCTGGCTGCACGCCCGCTCCTGCTCCTGCACGCCACGACAGGTCAGTACATGTCGGCAGTAGTACACGGTACTATATTGTCATTGTCTTCATATTACATACAAATTCAGACATGTCGCTAGTGGAAATGCCTGACAGTCACATATCTTTGAGTTTTTATTAATAAAATGATGTTTCAAAATTGACTTTCAGCTGCATTGTATTTATTTAGCTGAATATGACACGCAACGTTTTGTTCATGACGCGCGTGTTGTACCGGTGAAATTATTAAAAGATAGAAGAAGCTAGAGATCTTATACTCAGCACAAAGAACATGTTTAAGTGCGGTAAGTTTATTATATATTTGAATCAACGCACGCAGTCCAAATCCGCATGAAATGCATCATCCAATTCCTTCCGCATGGCACCCTCGCGCCAGACTGCGCTCGGTGCGTGAAGCTCCTAAGAGAATACTAAATGTTATTATAAATGTTAATGTCATATAATAGCCGCACCACTAAATATATTAATATCTACCTATGATACAATGACAATCAGTTCCGTGTACTTTTTGTCGAATACTGTAACATGCTGTATCTACGCAGGCAATTTATTTTATAATGCTACCTACTACTTGTCCTACCCTACATCAATTTACAAAGTTTACGAGATGATGTTAATCATTTATTAATGCTATTTACATGACTAGTTTATCACTCGTTTACAAATAATGCTACTTTGTCAACCTTTCGATCTCAGAGATCTCATATTGAAATATGACACACAAAAAGGTGTGGTCATAGGATTGTCCAAGTGTCCATGTTTACCAATCAAGAGAAATCAGACGAAATCCATCAGGTTCGTTTATTCATATGTTTGTCTTATAGACTGTATTATTTCATCAATTCCTAACATCATGACATGTTTTTCAATAATATTAAGATCTTGTAGTAAACATTCTATGGTGAAACAAAACACTAACACACCTTTCTATTACGTACACGTAGGTATGTTTCAATTAAATGCATAGGTAGTTTTACCCAATAGTCTAAATCCATAATTTAACCACAATTTTAATGTTTAAATGTGGGTCTCAAAATCATCCAAGAACCGACATTGGAAGAAAACTATTCGCTTGATTATTTGTATGCAAATCTTTCAAGATCCCTTCATTTTTTGCAATAATTAGTATTATAATGCTTCAAATCAAGAATTATCCATGCTTATTTGTTAATGAAATATTTTTTTATACATTATGAGATGCACAGTTAGTATACATTAAGTTTAACAGTAGAAGTGACGTCAATAATTAGGCGGTCATGATGCAATAAACTTAATGGATATTAATTTATGATCTCATGTTACGTCGTGTTAATATTTTTACTATACACAATACCAATATATTGCTACCTAATAATTACTATAACTTATACAGCTTTATCTGTAAATAAAACCTGATTCTAATAAATAATATTTACAGTTCGACATACAACAAAAACAACTTAACATCTACACCTGTGAACTTACAAACTACATCACAAAGCTTTATACAAGAGCTTAAAACGCAAATAAACTGTGAACTACACCGAACTGTGTTAGAATTGTTAGCACACCACAACCAGCCACCAACTGCGTCCAATGTTAAAGCCAACACTACCAAGGCAAAGCGAAAATAATAAAATCAACATTACGGAAACAGGGGACACGAGTCCGGGAGGCTTTCGGGAGACGATAGGAGGGTAATGGTCATTTATAAAAAAAAGCTTAAAGAAAATTAAAAAAATAATCACACAGCTTTCAACGCCATTTAACAGCCAAAATTATTGTTGGGTGATAACAAGAGTTGAATAAAACAGGAGGAAGTGCTCAGGATCGCGTGGTGCGACGTCGCGCGATCACCCAACAAGTCGAAACGTATCTCGCATACACACGGACGCGGCACGAGTAGTGTGTGTGTGTGCGCGTGTGTGTGTATGTGTGTGTGTGTGTGTGTGTGTGTGGTGTGTGTGTGTGTGTGTGTGTGTGTCGTGGCGCGGTGAGTATGCGAGGCGCG